TCGTTCACTTTTCTAGTTCGACAAATACACATCTGTCTTAGACCATACTATTCCTAAGCCAAGTAAAACAAGATAGTCATCTAAAGAAAAATACGGTTGATGTCTCAGCAATATCTGTCTACAAGTCAACGCTGCTATGGCAGCAATTAAAAATGTTATGTTTGACTTTGACTTTGATTATTTACGATCATTAATACTCAATATTCGGCAACACTCATCAATAATTTTCAATGCATCTAGTTCAACAAGATCACAGAAACAACGTACTACATCAATCACTGGTGAAGATGACAACTGGAAAATTTTTTATCCAAAATGTACCAGAGGCTCTAAAGAGCAAATTTAATAGTCAAGCAAAAGAATTAATCGGAAATTTATCCATTCTTGCTTCCCATCTAAATTGAATGCCGATTAACTTTCCATGGTAGGGAACTAGCATCCTAGTGGTCAGAAATTACCTATAATGAAGTATATTTCGAAGGTCGGAATATACTTCATTATAGGTAATTTCTGACGCTGATCATAAATCCAATATTCTTTTATCCCTCCTATAACAGGATTTCTGAAGAACTGTCATGAACTCTCAACCGAACACATTTGATAAATGCAGAGCGTATTGAGTTTCTCTCACAGAAAAGTTTTTGAGACTAACGCATCTATTTTCGTAACGTTATAAAATTTTCACTGATATATAAAAGCTGAAAAGTTCACATCGGCGCTTCTGAATTGAGACCACTTTTTTGTTCACGGTTATTAATTGGATTAAAAAAGTGGTCTCAATTCGGAAAGAGCCGTTCACATTTTCTATTAAATTACAACTTGAGAGTTTATTTAGTTTATGCAATTTTTCTATAATCCGAACACTGGAATTATTTAGAATTTAACCATTTGTCATGTAGTTTTGTTTTCTCAGTTTTCGATCAATTATTCATGAAAATCAACGCCACATTTGGAAGTCACTTGCAAAACCACATCGAACGATTTACAAGGCGATAGATTTTGAACGAAAACATATATATTGGTGGATATTTTTGTCTTTAGGTCCCTTTCTGGCATGATTTTTCAAAAATAATAAGTTTTTTCGAAATGTTTGTTTTTCGTTTATAAGCTTTCGTTGATCGCTAATTAACTCAGTCTAAAAAGCTAAACCAGTTACCCGGTCTTACCAGAGCTGAGTTACATCCTGGACCAGCTTAGAAACAAAACTGAAAAATACTTCTTACAAAAGGCTTTTTTTTTCTTCTCTTTTGCTGTTTACTGGTTCAAAACTGGATATCCTTATCGGCACCTTCAAAGTTTTATTCTAAATTCTACATAGTTTAGAAGTCTTTGTTATTTACAAGAAGCTTTTTCTTCTAATGAATTAGACCTGAAAATGTGACCAAAATCAGTTCTGAAATATCTGAAGATGCCACTTTCATAAAATTCAGTGCTGATTCCGTCAGAGCTGAATCAGTACTTTCATCTCTAAATCAGAACATATATTTCAATGAGATCTAATCCATGCCTGATAAAACTGCGTAGTTGATTCAGCTTTTCAGATCAAACTGATTGGTACCTAATGTTTGGTACGACCAGAGAACGACATTAAACAACGAATAAAGGCAGATTCGCAAAAAAATCCGATTTTCGTCTGATATGCTAAAAATATACACTACGTGAGAGGGAGAGGACATGTAATGAAAGTTGACATTTAATACCATTCTTTACTATAGGCTTCAACTCTTTTCTGTATACTGCAAATTTTGTGAAGAAAATGCACTTAATAAAAAGACTCGTGTTAGAGATAAAGTTTTTCTCATCGATGCGCACACTCGTCATGCTTGGAAGCAGTAGAATTCTGTACTTTTCAGATAGGCGATATAACCGTATCTCGTTCACTACAAGATAATTATGACGCTTTCTTAGCTTCCCAGAATAAACGTACCGAAAGTATGAGTCGAAAATACAAGTACCTGACGTGATGTATATGACACCCTAATTACTTCAAATTTTGTCTTGTTATCTGTGCTGTTCTATGAGAGTCTTATCGCTCCACTTATCGATCGAAGTGGGAGCAAAGTTAGTTGAAAAATGTTAAAGATACAAGTTTACTGTGAATACAGTCAGTCTCTCTTAGAACTATTACATGTCCGCAGTAAAGCAGCTGATGAATCTTAACAAGATCACCATTTTTAAGGTTGGAATTTTAAAAAATCTATCAGTTACAATCCAAATAAGATGAAGAACTATATCATGTTATTATATTTTTTTGTTTTCTTCGTTTCCCACATACATATATACAAAGAAATCGTCATATAAAAGAAATCGCTGAATGGATATAATGTTTGATCGACAAAATAAGAAAAGATGAGAGGCACTGATATGTAACTGATTTGAAACATAGATTATTATTTCTGTGAAAAAAATATAATCAAAATCTACGGGCCTTTTTATTTTTAATCATATTTTTGTCCTTTTCTTTTCGAACACAAACAGCAAAATGAAAGATAGATAAGAAATCTTGTCTTTCTATTTATCTATCTGTCACAGAAAATACATACAAGCGGATCACTGGACAATTCTCATGCCATTTATAAGTCTTTTTAAAGGATTAATCAATTAACGGTGTTTTCTTTTATTGGAAAGGACGTTGAAAAGTTTACAAATTAAAAGGGATCCTATGGAAAAACAATAATAGGAAACATATTAATTTTCATAAAATTAATAATATAAGAAAAAGAAACCCCATTATAATTTATAAGAGTTAAAGTAAAGAAATGTCTTTAGTGAAGTTAGTTCATAAACGAGAACCTAGATTTTATTAGGTGAGTGTGAATGTTGTTTATGTACATATTATTGTGTTTCTTCTATTCCAATGATTATTTTAGAAGAATAAAAAACTGAAACCAAGTTAATAATTCGATTTTTTTTTTATAGACTCTCAAACAGGTGACAAGCGCATGCCGGAAAGTATATTAAATAGAATAATTGATGCATTTCCTGAACAGTGGCGAAGTCATGACTAGTGTGCATTTCCGGAAAAAATTCAAAAGAGGTGTCTAATATGAACACGATATGAAATAATAAAAATTTCATTTTTTTGGTCGCGTCCTTTTGTCTAGTTTCATGAATATTTTAAATATCTATCTATATTATAAAATGTAACAATTGAGTACACATCGTGATTAAAACCATGTAATTGGAACCAGGATGAGTAGAGCAAAAACAGAATCTTTTATTTTCATGTGTGTGTGTGTGTGTGTGTCAACAATATATTTTTTCTTTACTCTTTCTTGTTCAAAGGAAAATAAATAACAATCTTATTTTATATACTCAACATAAAGAGAAATGTTTCCAGGTAAAACTATCACTATTTTCACAAATATAATAATTTGCATAATTCATTCACAGCTTTGATACAGATTGACTAGATCGATTATAATAACCAACTGTACTAATTTCAACATTTTCATTGAAAATGTTTAACTCTTTGTCGTGTAGTCCAAAATCAGAGATACAACTAAATATTCTTTGTTATACCGTTTATCATTACTATTTTGTATAAAAAAAAAAAGCAGCATGACAACAAAACAAAAAATCCATCATGTCAAGATATATGAACTTGAGTTTTTTTATGTTTTTATAATGAACAAAATAATCTTTTCAACATATATTTATATACATACAATATTATTATATTTCATTAAGTAGTAGACTATCATATTAGTTATTCTTTTTCAAAATCAGGAGATCGTAAAGAAAGAAATCGAGTGAGAAACAATGAGAGTGTTTTCACAGCTCGAAACTAAAGACAAAAACAAGAAAAAAAAAATACATTTTTTAGTTTACTGTGTTTTTGTGGATTATTTATTATTATTTTGTATACTAGATAGTTTATTATTTTGACTGAAAATGAGTAATCTTGTGAATTTTATATAGTTTTGAGTGTTCTGAAGCGTCTACTATCTAAAGACTAATATTTAACAGACAGTTTTTTCAAGTTAATATTACATATAGAATAACAAGATAAAGATGAATTTAGACTAACATTTATTTTATTTAAGTTAGAAAGAGGATACATTGTTTAACTCTTGTTTTCTTAAAACTTTCAATAAACTTTTAGGTACATAGTAGGTAAAACATAAATTTTAGATAAAAATGTTTGTGATTAGCAGTCTGTGTATTTAGGTGAGCGAAAATTTACTTCTGGGTTTATCCTATTGAAAATTTTATTTTATTAATTTATTTTAAGAAATCTGGTAGATACTCATGTTACTTATCATAAATGTTTTATTTTTCTCTCCGATTTTATTATATTAGATTTTCTTTTGTATATTTTCCGAAGAAAAATATGGAGAGAAAACGAAAGAAATGTACTGAGAACTTGAATAGCTATTAATTAAAAATACTTTTGCTCTAAAACTAACGAAAAAGGCTAGTCAAGAGAATTAAATTAAAATATCTATAGAATGTTTGACTCTTATCACCGAGTGATGTTCTGCTAGGGCGTACAATAAAAATGACGTTTGTTTTCGCTCTCTATTTTTAAAATAAAATAGAAAAATATGCATTTTTTACATAAATTTTTTCGATTTTTTCGATCTATGTCGAGTCGGTCATTACTGAGTAAGATTTAAGTTATTAACGTTTTTTTATTTCAAAACAGTACTCGTTTTCTCTGCATACTGTTCGGAAAAAGTTTCCAGTTTTACCAATTTTACCAGTTTTACTGTTATAATATAGACCCTGCTTACAGTATATAGAACAATAACAAGGCTAAATCTTGCTCGTTGACTTTATTTTTAGAATGTCTTTTTCAATAAGAAAACAATTGAATCTTTTTCATGTCAAATAATATCCAGATTATTTCTAACACAACTTCTTTACGTGAACATGACGAACAAAACTCAACAATTCACAATATCGCCCATAAAATATATCTTATTGCATTTCCCACATTAGTTTTAACAGGCATCATTTGTAATACTTTAATATTTGTTATAATGCGTCGTCGTCGAATGAGACACTTGTCCACTTGTTACTATATGGGAATATTAGCTATTGCTGATACATCGGTATTAGTATTGGGATTTACTGTGGCATGGACATATTTAGTGAATAAAAAGTGGTCATTATTGTTGCAATCCAGTTATACATGTAAATTGCTTTCTGTGTTATTTTATACGGTCGCCGACTATTCCGTTTGGCTAGTGGTGATGATGAGTGTTGATCGTTGCATTGCTGTTGCAAAACCATTGCATGTCAACTCTATTTGTACAGTAAAGCGAGCAAAATTTTGTGTTTGTTTATTAGTATTCAGTTCATTTTCGATTAATGCTCATTTTATATTTACCCATAAACTGTTTCAGAATGATACAGAATGTTCTTCTTTTCCTGAATATGAATATTTTATTATACGTATTTGGCCATGGGTTGATGCTGCTGTTTATTCTGTGCTACCGTTTATTTTACTGTTAACAACAAATCTAATCATCGTTCAACGTTTATTTTATGCTAGAAGATCGAGTGATAAATTACAAATATATCAGAATAATACAAATGCTCGTGCAAAGCTAAATAGTTCAATGAGTAGAAAACTGACAACAATGTTATTATCTGTCACATTCTTCTTCCTATTTACATCATTACCGTTGGTCTGTTTACAATTGTATCAAAATATTAATCATAATGCGAATATTTCAACAAGAATAACATCGTATTTAAAACCAATTTGCGAAACATTGCAATACAGTAATCATTGTGTCAACTTCTTCTTGTATGCTGTAACGGGGAAGGCATTTCGGCACGAATTAAAACGTCTATTTCATACGTGTACATCGTCAATAAACTTTCAAAAAAAAAATAGAGCATGTCGACCAAAGCATGTGAATATGATCGATGATTATAAATACACTGGAAACAATAAGAATGAAGCATTGGTATTATGTGGAGATCAACTACCATCACCTCGTCACTTCTTTAATAACAACAGTAGACAAACTGCACAATCACTGCCACTATCAGAGAGACCCTTGGCACAAAACATGTTGCGGTATCATCATTCATCTGATACATTCGCATTACCAGTGTTAGACACAAGGACAAATAGCAACATTAGTTATCGATCCAACAGAAATACGAGTATGAATAAAAAAAAGTCGATCTACATTCAGCGAATATCAAACGTGTAGAGTTACAAACTATTAAAACAGGATTATGACTTATGGTAAGAAGTTGTACAAATTTTCTTTTAGTTTGGTTTTGATTGTTTTAGACTTAAACCAGATTGTCACGTTATAGTACAATTTCAATAGAAAAAAACACATCAGACTTTTTTTATAAATAAATTATGATAATCAGAGATTTTAACTGCCTAAAAGCTTTGCCTTCAAGCATGAACCTTAATGTATTCGTACGAACAAAAGAAGCGGTTTCGAAAAATGAAGAGTTTATAGTTCATCAAAAAAAATATAAATTCCACCCTATGTCAGTTCTTTTTTCAGACGAATAACAAATAATCTGAGTTTCTGTTCCTATACAAATACCGTGTAAAGGAGGGGGTTCACTTTATCAGAAAACGGCTCCTGATTCTTTTGCTTATTTTGACTTGACTGTTATAGAAAAGACGTTTGGACATGTTCCAGTTGTTCTTGTGGAAAATAAGCTCAAAATACGTTTTCAATAGGAAGAAATTATTTTTACAAGAGACAAATTGATTTAAAAGACGGTATCAGAGATGTTTTAAGTACTTTTCTCGTTATATGTAAACGAGGATCTAACTTGTGTTTAATATAGAAAAGGAACCAATGAAAAACTGAATAAAATGGTATATGAACGATAGTTACGCATCGTATTTCTAAGGAGAAATGGTTTATTTTCAAGCATCCCCTATCGAGTGACCATGCTTGAGTGATCATATTTTCCCATTTTCTCCCATAAGCAAGAGAAGCTCCAACTAGTGTTTAATATAGAAAAATAGCTCTTGAAAAGATCTGCAACATTTTGAGTAAACATACTCTACATACCATTGGCTCAATCTATTATAGTTGAAATACGAGAAAAATCATTTCATATTTGGACTAGAATTTGGTCCAATTGCTCCAGAAAACATCTCTGATATCGTCTTTTAAGTCAATTTGTCTCTTGTAAAATAATTTCTTCCTATTGAAATGATGTATAAGGATGGTTCATAGAGTATTTTCTTCAGTTTTTCACTGGCTATTTTTTCATATCAAGGTTTGTGTGAAATCTATGCTGGCTTTTTCAAAAATATTATTTTTTCTAAAAACGACGTGCTCTGATGAAATCTCAAAATAATCAAAGTTAAAAACGTATTTTGAGCTTATTTTCCATAAGAACAACTGGAACATGTGTCCAAACGTCTTTTCTATGACAGTCAAGTCAAAATAAGCAAAAGAATTAGGGGCCGTTTTCTGATGAAGTGAACCCCCCTTCTTTAAGAGCTTAACCTTTAAGAGTGGAGCTCCATCAGAACTCAACTTTTGTTCAATGGAAATATCATATTCGGAATCAGGATAAAAAAAACAATCAACTGATATGTATTTCGAAATTCTTAGTTAATTTTCTTTTTTTGGTGAAAATCTCGATGATTTTTCAATCTGAATATTCGAAAAAAATTAAAGTAGTCGGGTAGGATAGAGATACACATCAGCCGATTGGTTTTTCTATCCCGATTTTGAATATGATATTTTCATTGCACAAAAGTTGAGTTCTGATGGAGAAAATTGAGAATTACGGACAGAACTCTGACTTTTACGCCTCTGGGGGTCGTATCGCAAAAAAACTTAAGTCTGACTTAAGTCAAAATTTGGACGTAAGTCACAAAAAAACTTAAGTCATGGGAAATGTAGTCTTAAAATTAAGATCGAAAACTTAAGTCGGACTTGAATCATTGACGCAGTTTTTGAATAGATCAGGCATTTAACGATAGAATTCGACGAAAACGACATTCTAAGGATTAGAGATTGCGGGTTTTTATCCGAAGGTTGTCACTGTTGTCAACGACTTTTAAAAAGTAAACAAATCGCCAGCTTAAGTCTTTTTCGTGATACGGTTTAAGTCCCCGAACTTAAATCGGTCTTAAACTTAGACTTAAGCCTTGACTTAAGTCGGTGAATTAAGCTTTTCCTCATACGACCTCCTGATTTAGAAAAATGAATTTTCTCAGCAAGGAAAAACAATTTCGAAAAAGCGAGGCAGTAGGTTAAAGCTGAGGTTCAGACGAATCGAATGAGCTATGACGCTTGACTTTAACTCTTCACACAAAAAACTAGATAGCTTTGCAAAATGACGTGTTCGAAGTTTAGAGGTCTGGATTAGCACGTCCGTCATAAATAGACCTTACACTTCGGAATAAATAAAACACCATTATTAAATGAAGTGTTTAATGCTGAATCAGGAAAAAATACTATATAAACTACAAAAGTAAAAAACTTGACCGATAGGTAAGATAACGTCTCTTAGTACCATATGAGTGATACAAGAATATGTTATTAGATATTTTTCCTGTACCTCAGAGCAAAAATGTTCGTTTTAATATATATTGTATTCAACGATAGTGATCGACAGAACCACATTTTTTTCTTGCTGTCTAGTTCTTATAGTTCCTATCGTTTTTATTCTTCGTTATGCAACGCAAAGTTCCTAATTTTTCCATACGTTGTGAGTGCATAATTTCATTTGACAGCACTCGAAATCGTAAGCAAAAGTATCTAGATAATACAGAATAAAATATCGGATTAGCTAGATACATCGGGTTTGATTACCCTGCAATACCCGATGCATCTAGTACGAAACTAAATATGCTAAAAACTAGGACAAATTAGTGGCATATGACGTTTAATTGTGCGATGCATCGGATTTCAAAAAAACATTTTTATTTACTCGAATTGGGGTCGGATAGCATAGCGATCGGTATTCTTCAAAATTATAAAGAAACAATGAGATAAGATATTCAGTAAACCGTTCACTTCATCATAAAGATTCTTTTAAGAATCACCCAAAGAAATATACATTATATAATAGAGCAGTCATCCAAATGAAGAGCATCCACTTTGAATGCCACTTTGTTATAAATATGAATTTCTTAACTAACGGTGATTAATTAATAACAGGCAAATGATATTAACGCACAGAATAAGTCGTTAAGTTCAGTTTGCTGACAAAAAATCAGTAATGATAATATTCTAATTTTGAAGTTGTTGATTGTGTATATGATCTCGTTTAATAAGAATTCCATAAACAAAAAAATAAAAATGAAGATATTTCTGTTTTTAAAGTTATTTTATACTTAATACACATAGAAACACAAACACATCAAAAATATTATCCTAGCATTTTAAAAACATCTATCTGTAAAATAATAATAACAATAATTATTATTTATAAAAACGTACAGATTGCATTTTATTAAGCTATCATTTGAAACATTACTATATTGTTTCACATAAATAAAAATTGCACTTTTGTTTCATCGAAGCATATAAATTTAAAAACATTCAGAGAAGAAATGACTCTCTTTAATAATCAACAAATTAATCCATGTATATTTGACAATTTAATTTGATAAAAATGTAACAGTACTTGTAGTTCGAGAAATTGTATCGTTATTTTATTCATATAGTCAAAACGATAATAGAATGGCTAGGAGTTAATCTACATATGCACATATGTAAATCACCGAGCGTAAGTGTTTAACGAGCGTATCGTTTATATACAATGTTGAATAATAAAAATTAAGGTCACTGTTCAATAACGAAAAATTGACTAATAACTTTCATTTTAATAAATGAAACACTCTATCAGGAAAATAAGGTTTTTTTCGTCAATGTTGCACGATCCTGAAACAATAAGCAGTACAAGTTTACGAATATAATGATAATTCATCGATGTTTAGTTAGTTTGCTAATCTTTTTCTTCCCCTGGAAAACAAAAGCTGCAGTCGATCTTTTTAGCTTTTTCGACATTTTAAAACCATATTTTGGAAAAAATAATTATACTATCTGATAGCACTTAGAGTTTTCTATCAACCTGCATATTCAGATTTTCCCTTGCTCTTGTTCATTGGAAAAAAAAATCGAGTGAGATGAAGACACCCTCATTGTCAGATTCCCAACGATTAAATTTTACCGCTGTCTTTTCAATTCGTATTTTAAATTTTAAATTTTAAATTTTAAAAATAACAGATTTTCAAAGTTTAATTTTTTTTGTCTTTCATATGATCTGCGTAGTTTTCTTGATTGAAGCTCTAAAATTAAATTTTAGATATGGTTTTGTACAGCATTTTGCGGCGCATCTTTTTAAATTATCAAAGATTAATCTAAGAAACATTAATCTTTGGGTCCTAAAGAAACACCAGAAAAATAGAAAATACTCATTGCACTCAATTTATTTTTCAGCAAATAAATGCAAGACAATAAATACAGGACAATAAATATACAGGATGATAGAGAACTCTGAGCGCTATCAGATAGTATAATTATTTTTTCCAAAATGTGGTTTTATAATGTCGAAAAAGCTAAAAAATCGACTACAGCTTTTGTTTTCCTGGGAATATATAATTTCTTTACGAAAAACAACTAATTAATGCAGTAATCGATCTCGCTGTTAATTCATACCTTGCCATCTGTGTTAATCAATTTCGTGACAATATTTGAACTAGTTTGCCAACAAGGTATAGGCATGGCAATAAGATCACCATTCTTTCGTTCTTTTCCGTGAACCTCCGAATAAATCTATTAAAAAATGTAGAGATATTTATTATCAAAGAGCATACAATTAGACTTACAACTACTAACCTTTAAAGAATAATTTGGTTTCAAAAGACAATTTTCTGGAAACGTAAATGTCCTCGTTTCATTCTCAGCTTCTTGTCGTATACTCCAACCAGATAATGATATGCTCTGAAAATAGCAAAATGACAAATTATTGACAGATCTTTTTGTTATAGACAATAACACGCAACCAGCAAAACTAGCTGCACAAGAAGAACAACAAGTTTGCATCCTAGCGCAAATCAGACGTCATACCTTTGAACGACTGGTATTTTCGATTGTAATGTAACGTCCTTCATTATCACATTCACTAATACAAATAGGCCCTTTTGCACATTTTTGTACGGTTGTTTTTGACTCAAGCGCTAAAATAAAGATGAAAAATCGTTTTCTAAATGTTAATCAGTTTTTATTAGGGATGTACAGAGCGACTAATTGCGATATTCTGAACTGTGACTTACAAGAATTTTTTTCGCCTAAAACTTGCTCTTATTCATTTCAACATCTAATACCACAAGTACAACAACATCAAAAGTATCTGCTTTATGCAGTATCGTAACTAGTATTTTGGACCATTAGGCCAACTCTATTAGTTCGAAAAAAACGGCTGGGTCACACTGTAATAGTTCGAGAAAACACTGGGCCAGAAAACCTTTTCTCATATTTTCAGATAGGAAAATCACAAAGTTCAAAATCTTATTAGGCCAATGCTCTCCCCGCCGCTAGTTACGTCACTGGTTTTATGTAACAAAAATACAGTTATATACAGAACGAAGTTAACCATTCTCATCACTTAGAAAGAAATGCACTGAATAAATTGAATACGAAGATTCTTTGAATGTCCTTAACGAATCATCCATAAAGCCGTCCCACCCAGGAGACTATCTGCACCTGACACGTACAGTTCCAAGTCTCACAAGGAATTTGTCTGCTGCCTTCTGTATTCAAATTTCAGCGAACTCTTTCGCGTGAAAAACTTTTTGAAAAAAAGTAGCTTTTGTATTGATCGATCAATCTTATTCCGATATGTTGTATCTGAGACTTACTGATATAATACTGTTCGAGATCAATATGCTTCGTTTTCTGTTCTATGTCATACGTTGCGGGATGTTCAAAAACAGCAGTTCTTGGTTTAAATAAAAACGCTGTTGTTGTAGCATTTGCTGCCATTTTTTCTGAGTGTATGATGGACTTAAGGTTTTATCAAAGCGGATAAAGAGTGTAAAGTTTGAAGACTACATTGACAAAACAACGATTATATATAATAATTCGTTATTTTTACTTTTTCCTCCCTGGAGTTTTTTTTTCTTCTTTTGTTCTAGAAAACGAATATTTAGCCGCTTTTTACATTTTAAAGTTTTTCTCCATAAGAATAATAGAAGAAAGTGTGTAGTCAGACAATGTTTGTAGAATACAATACACATACACACACTTGAAAACCGAAAATGTTATTCTCATTGTTTGGTACTTGAGGTAGTCTTATAAAATAATTTTGTTCTATTTTATAGTCCTCGAAATATTTTTTGTTGTTTTACATATATTGCATTCTTTGTTGTAAAACGTGAATGAAGGTCATTAAAGAAGAAGAACAAGAAAAATAAACGCAATGCTGTGGTTTATAACTAGAAATAAAAAAAAATGAAAAGTTAGAACAATTGTGTTATATAGAGAACTAATTTTATGACAATAACAGAGATAACAGACAGTAGGAAATAATGGTGAAGGAGAGGGCTCTAATAATATAAGTCATAAAGGAACAATTTTCATTTCGAGGTCGTAAATTGGCATTAAATGGGTTAGTTTATTTTTCTCTTTCTTTCTCTTTGTCCACATCAACAGGTCATAATGCATAAAACACATTTACTGATAAACTATTATCATCGATGATTTTAAATAGTGTATAAAATACAGGTACTTGAACATTCATCTATTACCAAAAACAGTGAGAAAGAGAAAGAGTAAAGAAACGAAATGAATACATTGATTTAAAGAAAAACATCTATGTTTCATCAATGGAAACTTGAGATATTTGTAAATGTGTATTAAAAAACGAGAAAGAGAGACAAACGCAAGTGAAGAAACTGATAAAGAGAGAAGAGATTGAAGAGTGGACTAGGAAACGAGACATACAACCGAAAAATAAAATTGTTACATATCAACAAACAAATTAGGCCTAATATTTGATATTTGATCCCATCGGCAAAAATTTATAATTTTTACACTTTAGGAAGTGATGATTTAAATCTTACTGCATACCATGTGTTTCTACAGTCGTACTAAGGCAATAAAGCGGTACAAATTTTGAAAATTGAGTCTATCTACCATGTTTATTATGTCCTTCTCCCAACTACATCGTCCATCTTTCTCTCAGATAAATAAGATGAATTCGAAAATCTTCTACTTACGTTCGGTAGTAGTTGATGCTTCGTGGACGTCTTCCGTTATATTGTCAGCTTTCCACCATAGTGGTTGTTCAAATATTCGTTGTTCATCACTACTACTCAAACTTCTTGAACTACCACCGCTTGATGTTGTTTGAATTTCACTGTATGGTGATGATTCGTGTATATTTGATCTTAATGCATTGTTATCTGCACTACTTGCTCGATTTTTGTTCGTGTCATTCACTCGCGTATCCGATAAAAGTAAAGAATTTGTTTGATTTATTTCTGGATAAAATGGCGTTTCGATAGGAGACGATGTAGAGAGACGGATGTCAAGATCGTCAAAGGAAATATTTGTAGGAACTGGTAGACTTACACCGCGTTCACTGCGTATAGTGAACGGTGAACTTTTTCTTTCAAAACTTTCATTTGTGGGATAAATATCATATTGTTCGGTTTCTAACCGTGCTTGTGGATGTGATGACATTAATGAAGTCTCAGTTTCGAGAGCGGTTTTAAAACTATCCGATTCAGAACAGGGATCGAATTCAAATTCGTTTAATGGTCGATTTAATACATCAGAGATTTGTATTGTATTTTGTGTGGACTTTAATGGAACATGAAGTTCATTGTCTTGCCCCAGCAAATTTTGAAATTTACTTGGATCAGCTGTTCGAACGATAGTCTAAAACATAACTAAGGCATTTTAAGATACAAAAGAAACTTCATAGTAAATACCTTGGTTTTTATTGTTGTTTTTTTTCTAATACTACTTTCTTCTAAACTGTATCTTTCATCATCAGCGTCATTGCCAAATGAAGATTGTTCTCTCTGCATGCTGTCGTCGTCGTCGGGTCCTCGCCACAGACCTGGAAATCCAGGAATTAAAAATACATCCTCTGTAGGAACGGGCGCCGATGACGAATCCCTACTGGACGTATCATAACGACGGTATGCATCATTCGGAGAATAATTGGTAACTTCTTGAACTATTCTATAAATATTCTGGTGTTCTTGTTGTTGTTCTAAACTCTGTTCATCAATATCAACATTCTCCATTATGTCTTCATCGGCGTCTTCATCAGTGCTAGATCCATGTTGTTTTTTTGATAATTTCTTTATTCGATCTGATGCTAAATTTTCATCATCTAAGTTTAATGAGTATGTAATATTTTCTGTTGCGTCAAATTCGGTTGCATCCTCAACATCGTGCTGCTGGTGCTGTTGATGATGATTGTTTTTAAACAGTAATTGTTGCTGTTGTTGTTTTATTTCGGGTAACTGTACTACGTCCGACATGTTTTGCTCATTGACTTGAAGATCAGCTTGAGCGGACGTATCACTATTTGTACTTTTGAATACGGGTAAATCAGCATTAACTGAAATTGCTACGTCCAAACGTTCAACAGATGAATTATCCAGTTCATGGATAGCATAAGACAGATAACGATCTGAGCTAGTAATCTGAGATGCACTGGTCGTGGTTGAACGATCGGATTCTGTTAGTATTTTCTGACCTTCTATCGGACACTGTTCAACAGTCGTCGTTTGAGTATAAAGTATCGATGATAAAGCTTTTTTAATATCCGTTTCTGACAATTTTTCTGTTGAATCAGCTTGCATCGTAGTATCGATAGTGCGCGATGCAATTTGTGAACTTTTTGCATCCGATGTATCAGTTGATGAAACTTCAACAATTTTTTCAGAATAATTGATAGTTTTTAGTCCGCTAAAATTCGTTTGATCTGAATTGAATATGATATTGTGTCTTTCAAGAGTATTTATTAAATCGAACGTATCCACTTCTGTTATTTCTGGCGAACATTCTCGGGAGTAATTATTTTGATCTGTTGAGTTAAATTTCACAGTAGACAGCTTTTCTAAATTTTCATCTATTGTGGAATTAAGTTTATCACGTTGTTCTTCCTGAAATAGGAATAAATTTGTTAAAGTAACCCTCACTCTGTGCATATAACTTGTAAAATAATATTTAGCTTATCGTACGCATTTCAATTGTTTCACAATAAAGAGCTAAATTTCTTTTATTTTTGCGATCGTTAAAAATATAATGCATGATTCTACTTACTTCGGAAACTGATGGTAATATGTCGACTGACGTAGTTTTTTCAGATATTACTGTTAACAACGTAAGTACCTTTTCATTATCAACTACCAAACTATTGTCTATTGTTTGTTTATCAGTCAGTTGGTGGTTTTCCTAAGAAACACGGAAACGGATAAGATATTTTACTAACAGGGTAGCAAAAATCAGTCACTTACTTGAGACACAAATTGTTCTGTTGTGGTAGAAACTGAACTTTCAATTTGGGGCATCTTAATTTTGAGACTAATACTATTTGTCATGTCAAGCATTTCTTCAAGCAATTGTTGAATATTAGTTAGCTCTTGTGTTTGAATTTGTGTCTGCTTATCTGATTCAGTGACTATGTTGGATTGATTCAAATTTATGGAGAATGGTTGAAAAGACTCAACTGGTTGTTCAATTTGTTTTTCTCCATCTTCATCTGTTTCATGGCTAAATTCGTCGCCTTTAACCTGTTCAATATAATTTGAATTTTCAGTATGCATATCTAAATTTGATGGATATATGGCTGGGTCATCAGTTTTGTGTTGCTCCGACACACTAGTCTGTTCTATACCATTCTGTGATAAGTTAAGATGGGAACTTTTCTCTTGGTAAATATCTTTGGGCTCGATGATTTCAATATTCTCTGATAAATGACTAGAGAATATTTCTATATTCTCTTTATTTTGATCAGAGAGTGTCGTGAATATATCAGAAAATTTAAGTGGGCTATTGATTGCTGTTGGAACTTCAAATTCAGATGCCACTGTGCTTTTGCTCTCTTCTGTGACCAGTTTATGGATTTGATTTGTTTCAGTCGGGCTTTTAGCGATGTTTTCTTGCAGTTGTTGGATTTGTACATCTGTGGCGATTATTTCTACTGGCGGCTGTAGTTCAAGGATTTGTATCTCAGATGAATCATTAAAAGATGGGACTGGAAGTTGTGGAGACTCATTGGTACAAGACGAAGAGTCTTTAATGACAAAATCTGGTTTGAATTTATCGTCTTGATCAGATGTAATCAATTCGGGAGCTGATAGTATCTCGTGAATATATTCGAGCTGAAGGTTTAATTCTTGTAAATTAAATGCACCATGAATTGGTTCTAACTGATCACTTTTTACATCGATATCAGAGGCATGAAATTTTGACAATTCTTCGATCTGGTCCGCTTTTCGATATGTCCCACTTTCTGTAGATGGAGTCGACAGAGTAATGTAATCTTCTTGATTTGATGGTAACTCGGATTCAATTCCTGGTTCGTCGCTGGACGACTGCTGTATGCTTGACACTATGTTTTGTACGACTTCTGTGACAGTTACAACTGGAGAAGTAATTCTTTGTTCAATTGTTTTGAGGAATGCCTGTGTTTGTTCACTTTGACTTTGGACGTTTTCTGTTTCGTTAATTTTGCTATCTTTCTCATTTGATTTCTCTTCTAACTCTGTATGAGACTTGAAGATCGCTAATTCTTCTGAAACATTAGTAGAAATTGATTGGGGTTCTAAATCCAATTGAAGATTAGCAACAACTTTTTGCATCGTTTCACTAATGTTAGTAAATGGAGCAATAGCAGTTTGTGCAATGCTTTGTAAAACAGTTGACTCTTCTATTGTGTCAAATTTTGTTCCACTATTCAAAGATAATTGTTCTTCAGTATGATTACCAGGAATTGAAAATTCTGTTTTAAGATCTTCATCTGCTGACTGATTCTCTGTTAGTTCGTTAACGTTCGACATCCCGTTCTAAACAAAAGTACTAATTTAATATCTTGGGCTGTTAGTGCATTTTTGAAAAATAAAGAAAACTTTATACAAATACACTACAGATCTTAGATTTTTCTCACCGCTTTACCTGTAACGCAATAAATCTCCGAATAATCTTCAGAAAAAAGTTTTCTATTGAATTTTAAAAATAGAATTTTTCGGAAATAGTCAAAAAACTGATAAACAGTTTATGAGGAAAAATAATGTGAATGATCCATACCGTATCATCTGACACATATTTGATAATACCACCTTTTATTGTCTCGTTTTCAAAATTTATCTGACAATGATCGCCGAGATAAGCATAATAAACATCGCTGCTTGTATATCTCGTAGATACCTCACTTGTTTGACCAAGTTCTTTCAAAGGACTTATAATGTGAAAGTTTATTTCGCCACTCTTTGTTTCTTGGATCTCATGGTCTTCGACTTTTTGGTACGTTACCACAGCTTCTGTTGTCTGAGTACTACTTATTATTGATCTGATAATATTTTCTGTTTGAATTGTATCAGGAATCATTGATTCAGATTTTGTCATTTGTTCTGGAGGATCATCTATTAGTAGTTGCGGTACTTCTGGTAAATTCTTTGGTTTTTCTTCTGCAGCACTAAATTCAATCTTTGACTCCATATATATTTCGTATGATGGTGCCACAGTTATTCCAGACTTTTGAGATGATGCATGGTGAAAAGAATCTTCTTCACTGAGTACTCCTCGTTCCAGATTCTCTTCAACCGGTATAGTAGAAGTGGGTTTAGGCTGAATGGTATCAACTTCTGTTTTATTTGTTAGTAGTTGTTCACTATTTGTCACCGATTGAGAATTGAGATTTTCGTTTGCAACAGTATCATGTAGTTCATTTCTCTCTTCTTCGTTATCTGGTACAGGAACGAGTTGTTCCTCTTCTATTCTAATATTTTCATTAAATTGCTCAACTGTTCTATTCATCAAGTCTTGATTTATTTCTGTACGTGGTTCGTCCGACATTAACATGTTAGAGGAACTGAGGTTTGATTGGAATCTTTCATCGGGGTTTGATTTGTTGTCAAAAATTTGATTATCATGATATAGTATTTTCGACGCTTGACGAAGTATTTCATCTGTTATTATGCATAAATTATCGATCGTTGCTTTTGAATCGCTAACATTTGATAATTCTTCAATCTGGACGAGATAATTCTCTTCATGATTCTCAAGTATTTTTTGCACATTTGTTTCGTTTAACTGAAGTGTTGTTTTCAAGTTCAAGCCACCAGTCAAAATTTTCTCACTTCGTTCTGCTTCTGCGACGTTTGTGCTTGACACAACGTCTGATTCTATGTTAACGTCTGTATATCCTGTATCATGAATTATTTCTTCGGAAGTTTTTTTACCAGTGGAAGCCACATGTAATTCTTTCTCGATGTGTAAACTATCGGATTCAGCCACTTCCAGTAGCTGTGCTTCCTCAGAACTTTGTGACAATGTATTTATCTCCTGACCAGGTTGGTAATGTGTTTCTAATATTCTTTGTATTTCAAAACTGCTTCCAGATACCTCATCAGTTTGAGTCGTTGTCGGACTTTTATTGTCAGATAAATTTTCGTTGATGATGGTAGGCGGACTTAGTTCTTCATGATAACCTATTTCTTGAGCATGTTCATCGGATTGTTGTTCACTAGTGAAAACTTGCTCAAGAATTTTAGTCATTAAACTCGCTGATTCAGACTTATGGTCTGCTGTCATGTCATTTTCATTAGAAAATATCTGTGATTGTAATTCATGTCTATCAGTAGTCGTTTCAGTTGGCTCAGATGTAGTTGTGATTTCGTCTTTACGTGATATCAAATTGTCTAGGGCGGTTTTGTAATATGATTCTGATGCTTCCTGGATGATTTTATCGGTTTCTTCGAAGGAAATTGCCAATTGAGTATCTATGTCAGGGACGTTTTCTTCAAGAAATCCAGGTAAAATAACAGCTTGTTGTTGAGTGACTTGCGTCTGGGATATTGAAATTGGAAATTGTTCCTTATGTTGTAAACGTATTTCATCAGAGTTCACTTGGGCATTTTTCGAGGTGACTTTCAACAAATCTGATAAAATTTCTTGTAAATTTTTTGTGCCGTGCTGAATGTCGTCTACTTTGGAGATGCTATCATTTGATACAGACTGTTGTTTAGGCATTAGTATATCGCTCAACACAGATATTTGATCTGACACGGAATAATCTGCCTCAGGTATATTATGAATTGTAGTTAAAATTCCATTAGTTTCTGTTAGAGTTTTATCATCAGCAGTATCATCAATATCAAATGTCTGGGATGTTGTTGCTTTCCCACTATCATCTGTATCCTCTGATACTTGATGTTTTAATTCACTATCCATAACTGAAATAGCAGTAATCAGTTTATCATAAGAAGATCCAGTAATAGGGTAACTACCTTTTTCTTTCTGTCCATTTGCTTGATTTTTATTATCCACAAATATCTTTGATTTCGTTACTTCATCTTCACTACTCTCAGGAGTTTTAGCTGGTTCTGTTTTATGCATAGATGATTTCATACTTAATGTGGGCGAACTATCAGGCGATATTTCATAGTCGAGAAAACTTTTTTCGAGGCTTATGCTACTCAGAGTTGAACTGATCGGCGATACACTTGCAAGTAGTGCACTAATTTCATCTATTAGGCTCTCGTATTTATTCAATGTATTTTCCAATATTCCAATTGGTTTTGATATTATTTGACTGCTACTAGGTTCTTCCATTTGATATAATTCAGACTTGTGCATTAATTCATCTTGTATGGGAGGTTCCGGAGTTAAAGCGTATACCTTTGGATTTTGACTATCGATATCGACTGGTTTCTCTTGTACGTTTTGTGAAATATTGGAGGACTGCTGAGAGGTGTACGAACTTGTGACTGGTTCTTCAATATTTTCGTATACTCTCATTGTTTTAGGTATAACAATGGTTTGCTGCAAGGAATGTTGGGAAAAGTTTGTGCTATACGTACTAGTTGGAATGTAGGCAGTTTGCTTTCTGTTGGTATTTTCATACTGACTGATATTATTTGCTTGACGTAGTGTGGAAAAAGAATTTGTTGATTGATAGCTAGAAGGATAATTAGTAGATGAGGAATAATCTCTCGAACTATATGCAGACGGAGGTTTGAATATGTTCAAGTAGGAATCTGGCGGTGAATATTGTGAAATATATGAATTTGGTGTTATATATTTTGGAAATGTTGATGACGATGACATTGAAATACTACTGAATGTTGAGGGAAACGATGATCGGTTATTGTTAGAAAAGTTAGAATACGGTGGAATTTGAATAGATGGGGGATCACTGGCGAGATACGTTTTAGTTTGAGGTAGTGGATCATAGTTATAAGTGGACACTGTTTGAGAAGGTCGGTAATTAGTCGTTGATTGATCAGTGGTTGAAGACGTATACGGTGTTTTTGTTGTTGGACGAACATTGTCTTTAATTGATGATGGGATAGAGTTATTTATCGAATAGATTGAGCGTTCTTCATAGGTAGATGGTTTCGTTTGAACACCTGAATATGAAATTTTTGGTTCCATAAGATGCACTTTCTCTCTTAATGGTGTTGATGTAATATTACTGCTTGGCCACGACGATTCAAAACTAGTTTTTGAAATATTTTCTACTTTTGATAGTGTTGATGGTGTTGAGGAGAAAGTCGGATGATAACTGCTTGAAGAAAATAATGGTGTTTCAATTCTCGGTGAATGATGGTATTTCTGATGTGTAGGTTTCGGTGCGAATGCTAATAAATAAGCATCCGTGTATGCTGATGACGGTTGGCTAAAAATGAGTTGTCCTCGCATTTCTCCAGTGCCAAAAAAAGTCATTGTTTTTGATTTATTATCAGATTGTCCGGTCCATTCATATACGCCGGCTGTTTGTTTCGATGGTATCCATCGAGCTGTTAAACTTGTAATAGCTGGGCGTCGTTGACAACCATAGACTTTATCAAATGTGCTAGATTTATTGGACGATGCAAATGGAATGATGTCTCCTAAAAACATCAGTTATGATGAAAATTTATGTTCGTATCACTTTGCTTTCCATGCTAAAAAGCTTTCCATACAGGTAGGCATGCTTGCACACAATGCTGTTTGATTAATCTTTTCAAAGAACAGATAGATTTTGTCTATTTGATTACATAGTTCTAAAAAGCTGTGACATTTTGTGATGAATCTTTGTTTTGTTCATTCAACATCGCTCAGTTCAGCATGCTACATAAATAATATTTATTTATATTTGAAATTAAAGCTAAGTTTAAAATATGTGTTAAAAAATAGCCAACAAACATGATCAATACGCAGACTTAGAAACAAAATGTCTATTTTCTGTTGCCGAACTCTGACATATCAACTTGCTTCCTTTCAACTCAAAAATGCAACTTAATCTAGGTAAACTTCCGTTTTGATGAGAAGAAAAATTAAACTTGACGTTTACTCAAGTAGTAAACAAAAATTGAGTAAAAAAAATGTATTCCACAAAAAGCAATATAGACGCGCACAACGCATAATAAAATATCACATACACACCATCAATACAGGCAGAAAAAAAGGTTTTTTTGATAAGTCCATCTTCATCTGTAAACTACATATAAGTTACTTTTAAGCATCTAATCCTTTTAATCGTAGAGCCAAAGCGCCTTCGGGCTCCAATACATACCACTGTTCAACTATATTTTCATCATCTAAATTTAGATTACCCAATGAGATCAATGCTTGTCCCATAAATACTTTATCGGTGCTAAATAATGATCGATTATTTTTCACCGTTACATCAACCGTTTTCATACGTGCTTCCTCCAATGATAAATCATATTCGAATGTTTCATCCCATGATGGTTGCAATGAATCCTTAATGACTTTTGTTCGTCTTTTTGTCTTTTTTCGTTTGTCTGGTAATAACAGAATGCGCACATAAGGATCAGACAAACTATTTTTATCCGTGTTGATCAAATCCTTTGCTTCATGGATACGAACAATCAATTTACTTCGTGTACGATCAAATCGAACACCGCAACGGATATGACCATAGCCTTCATCTTTGATTGGGCTTAATTGATCACGTCGTTCATTTTGATCTTCTACACTTGAATCATCAGCTTCTCCTCTAACAGAAGAATTTGTTCGATCTCGTATGACACCCGAGCCACGATCGGATGTTTCTTCACGTATCGAACCACGCGAATCTTCACGCATCGATGTTTGACCACTTCCTGGTCTGCCCGACGTTTGAAAATTAGCTTTGCCTCCTCCAATCTGCTCATCACGATTAGTTTGAGGACGATTATCGTTACCTCGATTATAATCCTGCGATGAGAAATCCTCTTCTCGAATTGTGTCTCGACCACGTTCATCTCTACTTCGAGATGAAGTGCTACGATTGGTCTCAAATGAACCTGAACCTCCACGATGATAATCTCCCCCTCTTGAATCGCGATGTCCTCTATCTCTGTCATCAAAACGTTGATCATCGCGAGATGATCGTTCTCGAAAACTGCCTGTTCCACCACTGCCTTCTCGACGTTCATAACTATACTCTGTTGTTGATCTTTCATTACCGTAACCACGATCGCCGGATGATGTGAATTCTCGTCTTCCGCCAACATCTCGGTCTGCTGATGAACGATTATCACTTTCTAAATTAGATTTGAAATATATCTGTTTTTTTGTTGCCTATGTTTGACATGTGTATTCGACAACATTTATACAACACACAACAAAAACATCGATGTGCTGGAGGGATAGAGAACAACAGTTGATATATATATCAGTATGATTATAAACTATAATCAAATTAAACAACAACAATAACAACAACAAAAACGTAAATACGAACGAACACTTGAAATGACTATCTTGTCTGATAGTGCTCGTTTTCTGCCACATAGTGGAGGAAAACTTTCAGAGCAGTAGTCATTTTATGATCTCTATGCATAAAGTTGATTATGAAAAGAAGTACATAATTTACTGCATATCGTTACTAGGTTAGATAGAATAAGGATTATATTCAGTAAAAATTCTATTTAAATTTGTTCAAAATACTTTTTTTTTAAAATGAAGATAAGAGTCTTTGCTTTTTCTTTCCTTTGAACGTTAAAGACTTTATTAACTAAGAAAAATTACATTATGTTTTAAGACAAAAACTGTTTAAGCAAGCTTGAAATTTCATGCTTTAATCGATGCAATTTCCATGCCGTTTAAAGATTTTATAATTATTTCTTTTATTTTTTCACAAAAAGAACAATAAGAATTAATATCAAAAAGCACAATCACAACAACAAAAAAAATTAAAAATTTATCAAACGAGAGGTAGATAGATAAAATTTTTGTCTAATCCAAATATCGACGTGCAAATATTTTCCTTCTTCATGCAAAAAGTAAGAAGTAAAAAAAGTAAGAACGAGTTTTTTCTAAAGAGAATAGCTAAAAGTACTTCTTCTACTTTAAAATATTGCTGAAGCTCTCTTTTAACATCGAACTGTATAAGTAGAATCTTTTAACGTTCTACTTCAGTGTTCACAAGGAAAAAGTACATCGTCTTCTCTCTTGAACAAACAAATAAATCAAACTCGTTCATATCGATACTGTCTGTAACTACGCACTGTTTCAAATTTTAAAAAAAGAAAGATACTAAGAATGACTAGTTAAGAAAAGAAATTTTAAAACATTTCTTTCACTGTAAAGAAAGTGCTTCTAGTCAATTAAAGCCATTGAATGTATATTCATTGCAATCGTTTTGATCATATCCATCCCTATATTTTAAACAATTTGTTTTCAAAACTTGCCTAAAATAATCAAGCGAACTGTTAGAATACCGCTAAAAGAAAAACAAAAACATATTTACTTAAATAACTTTTTAATAGCTATGAGTTTTTTAGATTTTAGTTTTCTTTTTATTTAGTATATTTCTACCTAAAAGTCATTATTAAACACGGAACCGCAGAAGCTGTACACGCATAACCTACTCCATGTGCGTCTTTCAAATAATTTTTGAGTGATGACAGATAGAGAGATGCAGTGGTTTCACCTCTCAATATCTCACGCCGCAATACATCTCTTCTTGAATGGATAAATTTGAAATTCTTCTTTTAAAGGACTACTAGATGTTGACTTCTTTTTTGCATAGGTATGTAGTCCAAAATATCTTCTACAAAATTGGAGTCTTCCAGCGTCTTTAACTATCGTGGCATCGATTTTCTTTAGAGAAGATCATTTTGAATGAGTATTTATGAAGTATGAGAATCTGGAAGCTGCGTGAAGCATAGAGAGAGTATCAGTCATGCTAAATTTTGTGCCATATTTCGTTTTCATGAAAAGTTTCACGTAATCGTGTGGTTCAAAATGCGAATAGAATCTGTTTGTACTTGCAACAACCTTCAGAAAATTGCATAAATTCCCTCTTCGAATTTACTGTAAGTTTTGTGAACATAAATACTCATTCAAAATGATCTCCTCTAAAGAAAATCGATGCCACGATAGTTAAAGACGCTGGACGACTCCAGTTTTGTAGAAGATATTTTGGACTACATACCTATGCAAAAAAGAAGTCAACATCTAGTAGTGCTTTAAAAGAAGAATTTCAAACTTATCCATTCAAGAAGAGATGTATTGCGGCGTGAGATATTGAGAGGTGAAATCGCTGCATCTCTCTATCTGTCACCAGTCAAAAGTTATTTGAAATACAAGTATTCACCAATATCGATTATTGTAGGAGAATCTCTAAATGTTCTTTCAACATCTACCCTGAACGGAACAAATCGACTCGTTCTGTGTTTTTAAATGGAGTCTATTAGTAACAAGATTATGTGGAGATAAAAGAGCAACACTATCTACAGATGATTAACGGATACATTTAGTTTATAATAACTGTTTGTTCATAATTTGTTATGCTTTTTTTGAAAACTATCTTGCAATTTCGAACTTTTTGTAATGATTTGATGTGATATCATCACGTGCATGTCAACATTATCTTTCTTACTGGATAATTCTTCGCACATTTATGAAAAGAACAGGTGTACAACTTTCAGTTTTAAGAGTTTATGCTTGATAATAGCTGTTAGGTGAAATTATTATAAATAAGAAGAAAAGAAAACGTAGAATTATCTTCACGTTATATTAAAGCTATTAAAAATGTTCAAAAATCGTTGGGCTAAACGCGAACTATTGTAGTAATGTTAGATAGCCTTTATGTAATCAAAAAAGCGCTAAATTATATTAAAGAAGCAGGCAGCTATTGTCACTTATGTTAATAGATTCTTAGCATATTGTGACCAGCAAAAGTATATTTTTTTTAATAGATTTGTGGTAACTTAAAGTTTGAAGTGAAGACTCTGTTCTATAAAATAAATATTTTTGAAAATGTTTTATTCTAGACACGAGCTTTAGAAGGTTTGTCCTTTAATGACAAAGTGATAATTACTTATATCATTGCAAAATAAACTCTAAAAAGTATATAAATTGTTCAATATACTTTAGTAGATAGAAAACAGTTCATTCTCTCTCATAATATTTTCAGACTGGATGAGAAAGGATCCACGTAAGTTTTTAGTAAAATAGCGTACTACAATGTAAAAATAATCTCTCTCTTTCACGGTTAATTTCTAAAAAGAATTAGTGGACACACACGCATATAATGTCGTGTTAAGATAATAACGGAAATAAAAAGATTGATCATCTAACTCGTATTGAAGACTATCGAGAGAATATTATTGATTTCGAAATGAGCTAGGTATGCGTGATCGTTTTGTTTATTAGTATTCCATGTCACTCTGAATTCTAAAACAGTTTTCATCTTTTTCATTAAAATGTGTGGGTTTTTGATCAAGGCTGACTACGCATAAGACACTTTTTTTTTTTACCTTCTAACAACAAAGAAAAAATTAATATTCTGATTGTCGCCAGAGGATTGTGTATTTTAGTTTGTAAAAAAACAAAAAAAAATAGAAATGAATAATTCATGCAACACTGAATAATGTATTATTTGTATGCGTGCAGGTTTTAGAGTACCAATAAGCACAATTACTATTAAAACATGCAAATAGAACATTAAACATACCCGCTTGACCGCCACTCGTTGTACGATATGATCTTGAATAGGAATATGATGAACCGCCAATATTACTGCTGCTCCCACCACCACCTCCGCTCCCACCTCCGCTCCCACCTCCACCGCCACCTCCACCGCCGCCGCCTCCGCCGCCGCCTCCACTAATTCCTCCCGCTGCTGCGAAATCTGCTCGAGCTTGTTCTTCTACATTTTCAACCACTTGTCTCAGTCCTTCTCTAAAAATAATACACAACAATTTTAATACACGTTTAACAACTAGTTAGTTAATATTAGTTATTCAAACCTATTTTCTTCTCCTTCCAAAAGCTTTCTGTATATGGCTATTTCGGCATCTAGTGACGATTTTGTCGTTATAAGTTCATCTAGAACAAACAATTACATTTGATTATGAAAAAAATAATCAAATTATATAAGTAAGGTTTTACCATAATCTTTTCCTAAATCTTCTAATCGTGTTCGTAATTCTTGAATTTCTCTGTCGCGCTCGTTTGTTGATTCTACAGCATCTCGTCTTTCAATTTGAACTAATTCTTCTAATTCTTGAATACGATTCTCAAGTTCAGCATTCTAATTGAAATTTAAAATAAAACAGATGATATCTATAGAATGAAAACTTAAATCCATATTAAATATTACATACCCTTTGTCTTACGATTCCAATATCTTTCCTTGAATCAGTAACAATTATACGTAATTTTTTTATTTCTTCTCGTTCTCGAATATTTTCTGGTGCTTCAATTGCACGTCGAGCTTGAACCTCTTGAACCTAGAAAAACAAAAACATCAACTCCGATAAGTAAATTTACTATTTATATATCAAGAACATAAGAAAACAAGACAATTTTAACAAATTTACAGTCAGTTAGAAGAAGCATGCATAAACACACCAAGCTTGGAATTAAGAATGAACAAGCCAAATTGTAAAATTTCATTTCGAATCTAAACTAACATTTAATAGATCTTCACTATTCTAACTTCAAATGTAGAGACACATTTAATATCAACTAGAGAGAGCATTTTGAACTGAAGACAAACAGTTAATCTCGAACTGATGATAGTAAAAGTGCATTTATTCATCCAAAAAATTCTCTAGTTTGACATAGGAAGCGAATATGCGAGATTAATTCATCTAATTTAGACGAGAACACAAACAAGACAAGCCAAATAACACTTCTGTACATTAAATATATTTTCTTACCGCTTGTGTAACCTGTAACATTTAATAAACTCGATGAAGTTTGAAAGTTATTCAATTTTTTATACCATACAAAACGTACCTTAATTCGATACCACGATTCTAATTCTGTTCGTTGTTGATTATTTAATTGTTCATATTCTTCTCTGATATCTCTTATAGCATTCGATAATTCATGTTTAAAAAAATTAGATGGATCTAATGCCGTTCTAAAAAATATGAATATAATTATTGATATATAAATTAAAATTGAAATATTTTTAACATACCCTGTTAAATTTGTCTGTTTTAATTCTTCAATTTCTTGAACATGTATTTGTTTCAAAAAATTAATTTCCTCTTCAAGACTTTGTTTTTCATTTTCTAATTGTACTCTTGATATTGTTTCTTGATCTAATTCTTGTGTTATACGTTGAATATCTGAGATGAGTTTTTGCGATTCAAGACGATATCGTTTACTCTCATCTTCCAAGTCGGCTGTTATAAAAAAAAAAAGAAAAAAAAAAGAATGATTGTCATAGTCATTAAGAAATGAAATGAATGACATACCTAATCGACGTCGAAATAAATTTAAATCGGCTTCATTATCGGCCAATTGTTTTTGTAGAGAGTCAATTTTTTGACGATCAGAGTTACGACCGGCTAATAATGTTTCGTATCTAAAATAAAATTGAGAAATATTGCAACTATTGATCCTTTAATAAAGAAAGATATTTACTTGTCTTTATAATTTTTTGTATCTTCTTCCGCCCGTTTGGCTCGTACTTCAGCAGTTGCACGATCCTAATTACACAAAGTGATAGTTAGATTTAGATCAAAAAATATAATTTTTAATTTTTTAGACAACCTTTGCAGTTTCATCGATAATTCGACGTGCTTCTCGAATTTCTACTCCGAACATATCCTTTACTTTTGATGTTTGTTCTCCCCATTTACCTCTAAACGGTATAAAAAACAATGAATAATTCTTAATAATATAAATTTTAATTTAATATGATTACCGTAAATGTTCCAATTCTAACTGTAATTTTTTATTTTGTGCTTCTAAATAACGCACACGTTCAATGTAACTTGCAAAACGATCATTTAATTGGCCCAATTCACGTTTCTCACGTTCACGATTTTCTCTAAGTAAGATACAGCACAATGAAGACTAAAATACTATTGATAAATGAGAAAAATTATTTTTACTCTATTAATGAAATTATACTTTTTGGAAACAATGTCCACCGAAGTTTTGCCGAAAATGTGTTTTTCATCATAAATTTTTGAGAACTTATTAAACAACAATCTTGTGTATTTTTTGAATTCTTCTCAGTCTTTCTTTCTTCATTTATCACCAAAAAAACTTTGTTTTTAATTTCAATTAATCGGGTACTTTTTGAATTGGTTACTACTTGATATTTAGAAACAACACTCATCAATCCGAAGGTGTGCTAGAGATTTTCTCTTTCTTTCGTCTCGATTATATCTGCTCATTAATAATTTTTAAGCAAACAATTGTATGAGATGATATCGTCTATGAGAAATGATATGGCAAAAATGGAACAAGTTCATGATAAATGTGCTGAGAGAAATTCTTCTTTCTTATATATCAAATTGCTTGACATCGCATTTATCATATTCTCATTTTATATTGTTGAAGAATGAGTATTGTCTACTATAAACGTCTCATCATAAGCTCTATTTACATGTTTTCGTAGGAGGTATAATATTATATATGAAGAATGATACTAATATACATACTACAGGAATACGATTATCAGTATTAGTTGCACATTTTATTATACAATTAGGAAATCTTCATTTATAGACTCAAACAACACTTTCTTTTCATATTTCAAAGGATTTATAAACTATTATTATTTTGATGTGGGCATCTAATTGCTTCTTACCTAATGGCAACAACTGCAGCTGATTTTGTTCCAGATTTTAAAGGAATTCCACCAGCACCATACGAATAAAATCGTTCTACAGTAACACTTGATGATGCTGGCATCACTTTTTTTGTGGAAACACTTGATGATCTCGGACCAATTGCTGACTGATAATGAGACGAATCGTACTCTTCCCTATTATTAGTAGTATATTGAGAAGAAGCACCAACTCCAGATTGATCACGACGAGAATCATCTCGATCTCTATCGTTATCACGATAATCCCTACGATTACCACCACGATCACTCATTGTTACTGTTGTTCGAGATGGAATAAGTGCTGGAAAAAAGAATAAATCAATGAAATCATTTTAACTCTGTTTTGATTTCAAACAAGAACTGAAGATGATAGTTTTATTACTTTTTGTTCAATGCTCATTATACTAAAGAAACAAAAATTTTCACAAAAAGCGGTACAAGACCACTATGTCTCGATGCAAAACATAAACTCGAATTGGAACTTTTTTCATGAAATAAATGACAATTTTTCTATGTGTCAGGAAGGAAAATTATCAGTAACCTTTTCTAGCCGTAGTTAACTATTTTATTAATTTTTCTTTCTAGAACAGCACATCATACCAATATCGTACCTTCTTTTCTTAGTCTCTACTATAAGCAATAGTAATATTATTTAGATAAATGTGTGTTCTCTCTGGTTTTTAGAATATAATGTCTAAATTATAGCTCATAGAATATATATATATTCTCAGTTTTCAGACAGATATTTATACTTTCGTTTTTTATTCGCTAATAAAAAACATAACTTTTTTTTCTGAAAAAAAACCGCATATAAGATTAATAATGGAACACACCCTCAAAACAGTGTCGACCACTAAAATACCAGTACGATAATATGTATCTAACGGAAAATATTTGTGATACTTATTAATGCTACAAAAAAAACATTTTTCTTCTCTTTTTTTTTCTTGACATCTAGTATTTTTTTTGTTTCATTTCATAATATAATGAACATAACTTCCTGAAAAAAAAGAGAGAGAAGCAGAAACGATAGTGATGATTGTGGTCGTGGCGGCATTTCCATTCTGGTCTAGAGAATTGTTCAAATTATTCGACGCTAAAAAGAAGATTTCTCTCTTTTCCTCGCTCCCATCCATAACCATTTACTTTTTTTGAATTTTTTCTTTTTACCACAAGATTGTTAAACTTTGTGACTTAATTTTGTAAGATCACCAGCAATGAGAAAAGAAGAAAGCAGAAAAGTCACTCTTACTTCTTTTTTTTTTCAAACTAACTGTAGTTTTTCAGCTAGAATTGAAACAATCTTAGACTATACGCTGTTTATCTATTTTAGGAAAGATCAGTAGTAGAAAAAAATAACTATTTTTATCTATTAAATTCGAACGAATGAATTACTGTCTATAGTGCAAACAAATTTTATGCAATGGAATCTATCTATAGTAATGAAATTATTCCCAAATGTGATTAGTAAATAGACATGCATCAATAAGCGAAAATGACGAGAGAAAAAGAGTGTATATGTGCATATTTTGTATTATTATTTAGAAAACAAATCAATTCAATCTGAAATGCTAATGAAAATTTAAGTTATAGAAATTTTTTTTCAACTACAAATATAAGGTTTTTTTGTTGTAAATCTTAACGGCAACCGACATAACAGAAAAAAAAGAGACGATGTGCCTTCAGCGATGAGAGAGCCGTTTATGAAAGTATTCTTTAGAATAGATTAAAACATAGAAAAGACTTTCTAACATCTATTTCACGATGAATATAGTCTAAGTAGTGTTTAAATAAAAATCAATATTTTATTGTAACTTCTTTCTTCAGTTTTCTTTTTGAAAATAAAAAATCTACTTAGATTGCTTTATAGATCAACAAAGTTTTTAAGAATATAAAGTGGCATTACAAGATTTGTTTTCTAGCTCTGCTGTATATTCATCATTTATCCTCGAATTTCATAGATGACAATAGGTTGAATAAAACTAAATTTTCTGAATATATTTATTTGTTTCAATGTAATAGTTAAATACATAAGTGGTTCGTCTGTCTGTATATTGTTGACAACGTGGCATTTTAATTCATGATAATGCTTATCGTTTTAAAAAGACGGTTAAACATTTCGTGTATATATATATATATTAGGGCGGGTCAAATTTTTTTTCGATGTTTTACCTATCCTAGCGGTGTTCTACGGGTCGTTTTAAGAAACTTTGCCCAAGGAACTATAGCTCTATCGTGAAAA